AATTCCATGATTTTGAGCCGAATTTTGACTTTGGGGGTGTAGCCCGCCCCCCCCCCCCCCCTTAACGTTATTCAAACGCCAAGATGCTGTCATACTGTCACTTCGGCGGTTGAATCACGCAGATTTTGGAAGGTGTAAACTGCCTATGTCCAGTAACTTATGTAAGATCTTAAGAAAGCTTTTCTTTTATAAATTTAGTTACATGAATTTTAAATTCATGGGTACGAGCCTAAAGAAATAAACGTTTTTCGCTTCTCTTGAAAAATTTGTCTCTTGGCACTTAGGCGGTTGAATCACGCGGCTAGCGATATACCTTTCAACAAAATTTCAATTTGGTTTTGATTACATCTGATATCTAAATTACTACGGTACTGAAATAAAACTAAAAATTGCAAAAGCTAAAGTTTAGCCTAAAGATACATGTAGTGGGAGGTTGGCGGTTGCTCCGGTGTGGTTTGCCCCTTCTTTCCTATCAAACATCTGTTGTCCTTATCTCCCCTCCTTCTTTTTTGTGCATGTTACTCTCTTGTGAGATCTCTAATCTTCGGCACTTATATGACCTTATTGTGTTGCAAGTACCGTAAAACTCTTCTTACGAAAACTAAAAGTTTCTATTAAAGGAGTCCAATTCTGAAACTTCGAACCATCCCAAAGAGGACAAAAAGTGAGCATCCGTGCAGAGAAATAAGTGGCGAACCTGGATTGCCGATTTCTGTTTCAGATTTGGCACTTGAAGAAGTTTGTACCTAGGCTATAGAACGAAGATTGGTTTTTCAATCTTTAGAGAAAGATAAGGAAAAGGCTATGAGTGTAGTCAACCCATCTATGCGGTTGTCATTTTGGTTATTTATTGGTCTAACTCTGTAAGTGTAAGGTAATTAAAGCGGTGGCTTAAACAGCTGTGAATAATGGATTTACCAAACACAGTGGTCCCCGCCCTGTTACAATTACAGCGGGGCATGGTAGGCCTACATGTAATATTGTAATGGACAGGGATCATGTTTATACACAATAACTGAAGATTGACCAATGGGAATTCAGATTATAGTATCCACTAACTGTTTGTCAGTTATTGCTACTTTAAATCTGGTGGTTTATTTTTTCTCCTTATCTATGTCTGCTTACATCAGTTATTGAGCTTCTCCTTTCTTTTCCAATGAATATATATATATATATATATATATATATATATATATATATATATATATATATATATATATATATATATATATATATATATATTCATGTACATGTGTATATCTAGCTTCTCCTCAGATCTATCTTTATCAGCTTTTATCAGCTGTTGCTTTCTTTTCCAGTGATTTTTTTTGCTCCTCATCTTTTATCTTCTTCTTAGGGTTGACTAGACATAATCTGAGATGCACGGGAAATAATGATGATGATCCATGCACTTTCATTTATGAAGCACATACTCATGCTTTTCAGAGCCTACAGAATAGTCTATGCACCGTACAACTCTTCGCCATCAAATAGATGCCACTTTTGTTAAAATTAAAAGGAGCACACATAGATCTCTGGCAGATCTAGCGTCCAGTCCGGGGCCTACTTTTCATTCCTTTTTAAAAGGCCTTCTACACGATCAGTTCCTAAAGATTGAAAGGAGTCGGTCAAAACAGAAGGAAATGCACTATCTATAGGAGACGTTTAATCATTCTGCTATTTTGGTAGTATAATTGACAACGGAGGAACAGGTGCTGAAACAAAGTCCCGCATCAGAAAAACATGCGGCTTTCATATCTTTGAACAGGATTTGGAGGATCAGGGATATCTCACTTTGAACAAAGCTGATGATTTTCAACTCAAATGCGAAGTCATGTTGTATGGATGTGAGACATGGAACGCTTCTCAGACTTGCATAAAAAGGATCCAGGTTTTCTTGAACAAGTCTCTGAGAAAGTTACTGAGGATCAGATGGGCCACGGAGGAAGTGTTATAAGGAGAACAAAACAAAGCCTAGTCATAGATGAAGTGGGAAGAAGGTGGTGACGATGGAAGGATTGGACATTCTCTCAGGCAGTTGCATAACAAGGAAAATGTTGAATTGGGATACGCAGGGTAAATGATCAAGGGGAAGGCCACGTGAAACCTGGAGAGGGTCACAGAAATTGATGTACAGAAAAGTAGGAATGGAATAACATCAAGGAACTAATCCAGGATAGGGAAAGGTGGACAGTGTTTGTCCGTGGTCTATACCTTGATGCAGGTTGAGAAAGGCGGTGAAGATGATGGTTGATACACGATCAGTTAGAACTGACAATAAGTCGCTTATCCCGAAAAATGCTGTTTTGAGAAAATCGAAGAAAATGTTTTTGCACGTAGTTCAGTCTCTATAAAATACAGGAAGAATTTTATTTATAACCAAACAAGTACATGTATACACACCAATGAAACTAAACGTCTCCTATAGGTAGGGCAATTCCCACTTTTGGTGCAGGTCAAGATTTCTGGAAACCCCCGAAATCTGGGAAGGCCCGCTTGTCCTTAAAAGCGACCAAAATTGTTGGCCTTCAGTCCGTCCTCACCTTGTAATTACCCCCCCCCCCCAAAAAAAAAAAAGAATAAAAAAGAGGCTGAAATCTATAGGCCTACGTAACGATTGTAAAATTTGACGATATTCCGTTCATACGACAAATCATTATGTGTAATGTAACCACAAAATTGTATAAAATTGAGCAATCGGACGATGGATTGAAATTGAAACCAGATCAAGAAATCAAGCACCGCGCCTGATGCATTATTTTTGTGCGATGTGGGTCAGATTTAGTGGAGACGAGTTCGGACGCAGAATCCTTTTGAAATTTGCCACCACGCGGATAAAACATTGGGTGCTACATTTTTTAGTCATCGCAACTTAAAAGTGACTTCATTTTCTGAATCAGCCTATCAAAATAAACAAACTGCCCCTCGAGGAACCTGACTTGATACGATGTTTAAACGTTTACAATCATTTAATTTGTATTTTTCAATAGATAGCGAAGTCGCGCATCAAGGTCACTTGGTTTCTTTCGAATCAGACGCCAAAACCTTCTACGCATAACTACATCCATTGGTCAAAGTGGCGACTTGGGTGTAAAAAATACTGCAAGTCCGAAGACTAGAATAACCGATTAAGAGAGAGTGTGTGTTACAGAGTGTAGGCCTACTATGTACCAGTACGAATAACTTGTGTCATTTTCCAAACAGCTTGTTAATATGCAAATTGCAATACATAAATTTTTGTGATTAATTAAAAAGTATGCCTTTACAATCCCTCAGAACAACATTAAAGAAAGAACTGAAAAAGCAACCGGGTGGTATCAGATGAATGTAGACCTGTACGAATTTCATTTAACCAGTCGTTTGTCCAAATGAGCAATCTGTTCTGTCTTTTTTATTAAGGGGGGGGGGGGGATTTACACCTGAGGGCTACCTCGCTTATTACTGGACCAAATTTTACCAACGTTCACATATACATATACATATACATATACATATACATATATATATATATATATATATATATATATATATATATATATATATATATATATATATATATATATTTATAATATAAAAGCATAGTAATAAGGAGTCTTAAAATCCGCAATCAAATTTGAGATAAAAGTTTTGTTTCCATGGATACGGCCGCCATATTGGGTTTTGTTTACATGTCTTACGTAATAAATACAACACTTATTGCTCTTGAAAATTTATTGGGTTTTTTTGCATGCGTGTTAACAAGCATTAGATCTAAAAAAGAAAACGGTCTGTTGTTGTTTTTTTCGTAAACGAATTAGAATATTTTTATGAATTTTTTCCTGAGGCAGCATTCAAGATTGAAAAAAATTCGGGAAAATCCACACTCCAGACACCACCAACCAAAATCTATTCCGTATATTAAAAAATTCAACAAAAATTTTTTTTGTATTACATCTCCTCTTCATTCTATGAAAATTCTATTAAGATTGGAATAAAAAATGGTGGAGCTATTCAAAAAAGTATTTGTTTGTTAGTTTTTGTGAAATGTTTTTTACGGCGCTCGCAACTGCATAAGGTCATATTCATATGAGCGCGCGGGACACACCTAATATCTTCAGTTGGTAGGAAATTTTAAATTTTCCCCGGGCGGCGGCCGAAGCCTACTCTTATCGATTTTAGACCATCACGGGATCTTTAACGTGCGCAACTTGCACACGGGCCCACCGAGATTTTTCGCCCTTATTGTCCGAGAAGGCTAGGTGTAGATCTTTCCTACCAGAAGACCAGGGGTGAGGCAGAAAGACAGCAGTAATGAGGAGCCAAGGAGTAGTAGTAGAAAGCTGTTTTTGTGTATTTTCTTTGCTACATGTGGGGACCATTGGGGGGGGGGGGGGGGGTGGGGGTGGGATCGATCGAGATCCATCCATTGACTGTTTCTTAACTTCTTTGACTAGTGCGGTCAAAAATTCGTGGCGCAACGTATCCTCAAATGTTCGTCTGAATTAATGTCACTCAAACTTTGCATTGTAATTTGTATCAATTTGTCTCAACTTAACCATAGTATTTTTCCACAACAATTGAAGCTAGATATTTTTTTATGGGAGTGTTCACAGCTGCACTTCCAGCTTCTAACACATAAAATTTTATTTGCGTCATACCCATAATAATATAGGCTACCGGCACGTCGTAGCTCACCGCCAATGACACTTTTCGTGGCCAAATTTTAGCCCACTTATGCGATTGTCTTGATACACGTGACTTCGGCTGTATTCACAGAATTCTACACTAATAAAAAGTATGCCTTTACAATCCCTCATAACAACATTAAAGAAAGAACTGAAAAAGCAACCGGGCGGTATCAGATGAATGTATAAGCGTAGAATTCTGTGGCTGTATTCAGAGAGTATTTAATTATATTTTAGTGTCTCTGCTGTATTTCAAAGGGGGGGATACTGAAGAACCGAGTATGCTTCAAGTAATAATATTATTAGCATCATCTCCCTTGCACCTCTTTGCCGGTGGATAACATCCTTTTACGTGGCTTTTCTTGCTACGCATGTCAAAAATATCATTTCCTCTTCTTGTGCCAACATGGCGATGCGAATTGCTTTGATTGTGGCTTGCGTTTTGCAAGTATCAAACGCACTGTACTTTCACATTGGTGAGACGGAAAGAAAATGTTTCATCGAAGAAATTCCAGATGATACCATGGTAGTCGGTAAGTGTTCCAATTCTTTTGTTTTGCAATGCGTTATTATTTTGGTTATCAAGTTTGTGGTTGTTATGGACGGCAAAAAGGAGTCGAAACTCATCAAGCAGTTTGCCACAGAAGTGTCAGAAGCCGATAAGTTGAGTGTGATATTATGAACGCTTGATCTAGATCTAGATCTAGATATCTAGTTGCTGTTGCAACCGAAGAACTATATATCTAGATGTAGATCTAGTCGAGTCTACTTAACGATGACTAGATCTAGCCTAGGGTCCAAGATTAATGTTTATTTTCACTCGCCCACAGTCACAGATGCACTGCGAAATTGCCTCTGCTGGGGGTCAACAGACTGTAGACAGTGTGACGTAGAATCTACTAGAAATCTAGATCTAGCGGATAACCTAGATTCTTAGCTCTTGAGAACGACAACGAAACTAAACACCATTGGCAGATATTTATAAAGTAACAGCTATCTTGTTTGAAGTGAGGGATTCTCACTTTGTCAGTCATAGTCATGGTCATGGTGGCAAACATGCGATTAAACATAGAAAGACGCAATCTATTTTAGGTACGGCGCCCATCTTGTTTGGCGTCAGACCAGGTTACCCCTCCGATCACGTGACTACATCTAAGTATAGCCGGTAAGATTGTACTTTACCGGACCACCGGTCGGAACTACTTTCGCTATGGCGCCCCTCCTGGTGCCTAGTGGCCCGCTATTCTTCATTTCCGAGCTCCCCTACTCACTCTCCTGGTCAGTTTTCTACGTCCTCACCCTTCGACTGCCAACAATCGACTGACGTCTCTTTCCGGGTTTTTCAGTCATCACGACCATGCCTCTGTGCCCTTTGACCCATGACCCTGACACCTTGAGGCTAATTGGTCAATCTAATCACGTGGTCCACTATTTTTATTTCCCTGCGACTCTGCTGGCTTGGCCTACTCCCTGGTCCGGCAAAGTACAATGGAGGGCTAGAGATCCGCACAAGAGCTCATTTGCATAATTGCAACCCCCTCAGCCCTGCTGGCGACTTGGCTAGCCACTTCGTTATTATATAATTATAATAACGAAGTGACTATTTCTCCGAACGTTCGGAGAAATAGTGCCGATCTTTATTACTCCGAATGGTTTTCGGCTTCCGGTCTCGTGATTTTTTTGCCTATTTATTGCGAGAGTTCGGCGCCAACTTTCATTCTGCCTCTGGTCTGGGAAGGAACACGTACCGCATGGCAAGCCCGCCTACAGACAACCTTCAGTAACACCCACCACACACCCACCACCATCATGCACATGTACACACACTAACTAAACATAACTAGTGGGCAACTTTTGAACGTATGACGAGCTGAACTGTGGATGGAGAGACAGTGTGAGTGAAAGAGCGGGTGAAAGGAAGAATGTGCGAGTGTATCCACAGGCGACAGCAACTACAAGACGACGACACTGACCACCCCTGGCCTGGTCCACAGCTCACGAACAAAAGGAATGCAGCTCAGGCGGTGTTTTGCCTATATTATTGTCCATGGTTCGCAGGGAACAAGTGAGATTTTCTTTATGTGTGCCTGGAGGGATGGGGTGGGGTATGAAAGTCATGCGGACGGGGATGAGCCGCGGGAGAGAACACGGGAATTGAATGAAAGAGTGAAACCGAAAGAGACGAATGACTCATGAGTTCTGGAGTGAATGGATCCTGTGTTTCTATTTTTGTATACTTTGAACTGTTATTGAATAAAGGCTGAAATAAAGCCAGAAAAACAAACAAACACACACACACACTCCTCACTCTCCACTTACTACCACACACAGACACACTCAAACACTCACACATACATACACACACACACACACACACACACACACACACACACACACACACACACACACACACACAGGAGCAAATTTTTGGGTCTATATTTATTTCAATTTTCAACAGCTAGTCTAGATGAGATTTTTAGATGAGTGTAAAAACGTGAAAAAGAAAGGTTTCACAACAGAAAGAAATCAAAATTAGAACAGCCCATAAACAACAACAAACATTAACAAATAAGGGCGTGTGTCCACCTGTCCGAAGAAGATTGGCAGTTTTAACCCTAAATGTGCGTAATTTAAAAAAAAGTACAGGATATTACATGTAAATTATGGAATCACACACATTAAGGGGCTTGCCAGTGTCAGTACATTGGTCGCAGCAGTGACAAACGCAGATGCCAGTTCTATGTGTCGTTATCAATAACCCTCCGTAGATCTAGATCTAGACAGCACACGAGTGAACACAACACATTACGTTTAAAAGCAGCACCTTTCATAGGCAACACGTCATATCTATAGCGAAAAACTGTTTGGAATTGTAGCATTTCTTTATATAAATATTTACGGCGGACATTTTTTGGACCGATTGAACCATATTGTATACGAACAATCTTTGGTAGGCCCATACTATAATTATAGATCTATATAATATCCGAAATTTGGGGGAAAGGATGATATTTCAGAGTGTTCGGAGAAATAGTGCCCAGCTTTATTTTTCTGAATGTTCGGAGAAATAGTGCCCAGCTTTATTTTCCCGAACGTTCGGAGAAATAGTGCCCAGCTTTATTTTCCCGAACGTTCGGAGAAATAGTGCCGGCCTTATAATAATGCTTAATCTACCTCTCGTTCTCGGAAGTTCTGATGACAGAATAGACAGCGCGTCTGCGTTAGAAGTCATGCAATGATTTAAGGAGCGGTTCGATTCCGGTCCAAGACTATTTTTTTTTCTCTTCTCCTCCTCCCGACTGACCAACAGTCCCATAAATTATAATTTGTAGAGCTGCTTTAAAGTTGTTTTAAAAAAAAAAATATTAGTGATGAAGAAGGCAGGAGAGGGGGGGGGGGGGGGGGGGGGGGGGTGTAGATCTAGATCTAGATCCAATCCTCCAGCGTCTTTACGGCAATTTTCGTACCCTTCCATCTTTGGTGCCATCCAGCCGTGCCATGTGGTTGGCTATACTTAGATGTAGTCACATGATTGGAGGGGTATCCTGGTCTGACGTCAAACAAGATGGGCGCCGTACCTTAAAATGGTTTGCGTCTTTCTACGTTTAATCGCATGTTGGTGGCAACACGACCGCACACAACGGCAGTGTGCCAACTCGGATTATTTTCTCTGCAACTTGCAGAACTACTGTTCAGTTATTATTGTGCAGCACCCTTCTTCCGCCCAGATTGATTCTGATGCTGTACACTATGTAAACTGAGAAGAAGAAAAAGACTGGAGTCTAAGACAAAGAGTAGGCCTACCTACGAAAGCAAGTTCAAAGTTCAACGACGCAGTGCAAATGATCGACAGTTTCAATCCGGATCGTTTCTTTTGAAGTTTTGTAAGCACAAGAAATTTTATTAAGCTCTTGCAAGAGATTGGACTCAATAGGACTCTGAGCTGCAAATGGAGTAGATCTAATTCGAGACTGCAAGAAGAACAGTGCTTCCACTCTTCCGTATTTTTACGGAAATTCGTACTTTCTACTTGTTCCGTACTTGTTCCTTCATCATTATCAACTCCAACTCCCTCCGTAAAAATCTGCGACAGCGTTGGACTACCGAAATTCCGTAGCAGAAGATCCGTACTCGTCTTGTATAAAAGTTACGGATATTTACAGTAATTCTCTCGGCAATAGTTTATGAAGAAACCTGCCAGATTGCGCATTTCCTGCAATCGGCCATTATTCCGCTATGCCCCATGCATTCATTGGGGGTTGGTCAGCAGTACATTTTTTATCTGCAGATTGATCAAAATCTGGTGAACTTTTTGTGCCACTTTTCTCCTTTCTATCATTCCCTCAGTCCGTCTATCTTCGGATTGTTGCCGCGGCTGGAAAATCTGCGCGTTGATCAAGTATATTGACTTGTGATCTTAGACAGAAAATTACAATTTTTTGTTTGCATCACGTGACACGACTTCGGCGTGTGAGTTCCACGTGTGTCAGGGGCCGTCCGTTGACGGGGTCAACTTAAATTCATGCACACTGGTTGAAGTGTCTTTCAGTGGGAAGGGGGGAGTAGACACTTGGACTAGGAGTCCTTGATGTAATACTTCAAAATTTCAAAAAATAATAATAAAGCACATGCGTGAATGCAGACGGCCTATACATGGATATAATATATTTATGGTCTCCCCTGGAAAATTGTTTATTCTGCTGGCTAGTCACCTTGGCCTTGGTGATTTGTCGTTGATCCCGATTTTTTCCCCTGAGATCCTGATTTTTAGGATATAGAGTGGCAGGTTTGGTTTGGGTTAGACATGCGACGCGAGCGGAGAGTCTGCTTGTGAAGGCACTTAGCCGGTAGGGGACCTATTCTCGCCACGTGTGTCAGCGCTTTCTCGTCAACAGAGATTACGCACTATGCAGCAGCTTGCTGACGTTCTGCACTGTTAGGTCTAGGTGAAGTTGTAGTAGACAGTGAACCATAGCGGAGCAAAAGAAATGTACAAAGGCTTCGTGGTTGAGGACAAATGTATGATCCTAGCAGAGGTGGATAAAAAATCAATGTAAAAAAAACGAATTTGCAAAACGTTTGTGATTCCGAACTAAAGAGAAAAAAATACACCTTATAATGTTGAAAATAGTGCTGAACCAGGGAGGAAAAGGCATAAACTGATAAAATAATATGGTTCTACAATAATTATGGGGGCCTAAAAATAACAAATGAGCTTTAAAGGGCCCAAATGGGAGGAGATGCAAATTTTGATCAATCATATTATGACCTATGAAGGGATAATTTCTTGGAAATGGCCAAGAACAGTAACTTTTGAGTCTCAAAGTTTTTCTTGTGCATTTTGTTTATGAAGTTACTGTAGTTTTATTGATTTGACTAAGATGTACACCATGCTAAAAGAGAACGAAAGTTGAAGGAGTTGAATGAAAGCAGCAAATAAAGCAAAAAGTTAGATGCATTAGATTCTCACTTTTAAAGGTAAGATTTTGGTACTGTACATTGTACAATCTACTTCTTTTTTAACTCAAATGAC